GTGAAAGAGAGAAGTAACCTTGGCGAAGGTAGAGGTGTCAGGATCCCACTTATTGATAATGGCGGAAGCGGCTTCAATGCTTTGATCCACCATAGACTCAGAGAAGTTTCTGCGAGGAGTTGAGATAGAGGCTTTAGAAGGAGAAGAGTCTCGGCCGACGGCGAAGGACGGCGTTTTGGAGACGAAGCAGAGGCTTCTCATTCCTTTTCTCGGCATTATCTTCTGAAAAAATTGTGTTTGCTCAGACGGAAAATTATGCGGGAGAGAAATGATGATAATGATGTTTTTGCAAAAGCAGGTGACTCTGAGTCTGCGGTCTGAGGTCTGTTGGGGGAGTTATTTATAGAGAAAAGTTTGCTTGATGATGAGGTTAGGCTTTGACTTTTGGGGTCAATTTACAGACTGGCGCGTACACGTGTCATCATCAGGGTTAATTTGGTTACACGGTCATTACAAATTAGGAAATGGGGAAGAGTAGAGTCAGTAGACTGTTATGGAGATTATTATTCTGTTCATTTTGGAGTAAAAACTGTTTTCACACACCACGCGGATGAAAAAAGAAAATCAAACTAGAGTTTTTAATTAATTTATGTGAAAAATATAATTTTAAAAAATAATAAATTAAATAAATAATTATTATTTTAACTAATAAAATAAATTTTATTTATATTTTAATTTAATTATATATTTAAATAAATATAATTTTTTAATAATAATATAATTATATTTATTAAATAATATTTAAAATAAATTTTAATAAAACGAGAATTAATCGATACAATATCAACGAAGTTTGCTATAGGTGGGTAAAATAGCTACACACGTTTAATTAACACTATCTGAAACTAAATATTTATTTATTTTTATCTATCCACCACCAACTAAATTAATTTATATAGTCATTTTAGAAGATTAGGTATGATACTTCGTAATATTCTTTCATATTTGCCTCTAACTAGCAATAATTCTTTTTATTTCTCTATGTAGGTTACGTAGTTTAAAAGATATAGACAACTAACAACATCTATTTTAAGAATATCTGTTAACTAGATCATTCTGAGTGTTATCTCTTATGTGTTAAGATTTTAATACTACTGAGATTATTTATCTTCGATTCGCTGGCTTGTATTTTAGTTGGATAAGTACAAAATTTGTTTATAATCTATATATTCAAATAAGTATCTTTCTATGCACAAATTCTCATAAATTTTATTGACTACTAGAGTAATCAGTAACTATTTAGTTAGAAAATTTATATATTAATCGTAATACCACAAATAAATTCAAGTGACATACAAAGATCATAAACAAATCTTAACTAGATCAACACATTTAGCCAAAGAAATAAAGTCAAAAGAAATCGAAAATTTGATTCTAAATATTACCTTTTCAAACATTATAGATCAGCAAAGATACTCTCTCTACACTGTCATCCAAGTCAATGAGCTCTTACAATCATCCATTTTTCTTTGCACAATATAGCATTTGATAAAGCACTCTTCAAATCTCGAATGTCTTTAATATAGAGTTTACAAGACACCATTTTAAAATTGGATTCTACCCTTTTTAGTTTTCGCTATTCTATTAATATTTTGGGTAAAAATAATGTAATAGAGTATATGGCTTTTGATTAGATTTTAAACACAACAAACTTAGAGTCACCTACTACAAAACTCCTTCTAACTAGGCAATACAAAATTAATAATTTATATTTAAATTTTATTCTTACACCATATTAAAAAAATAATAAAATAAATTTTTTATGCTCCTACTTTCTGTTCAATATTTTGGCAGTAATTAATTAATTTTTTTTTTATAGTGAATGAATTGACAAGAGATGAATATATATATATATTGGCGAGATAGTATTCTACTAATTATTATATATATATATATATATATATGTGCGTGCGTGCGTGCGTGCGTGTATGTGTGTGTATAGAAATAATATTTTTGCTTCTTCCCCAAACCGAATTTGGCCTGTTATAAAGTGGAATAGAAGCCCAAAAGGTGAGACCATCTGGAAAGGTAACTGAGAGGGAGATTCCATACAATTTCTCCGAAGGCATAATACATGTATATAACGTAATCATTTATATCACACCAACTAAAATTGAGAGTGCAGTCAAATTTATATACATACGAATCTCATAATAAAATTAAATATAAAATTAGAAATATATTCTACGTAATTGATTTCTATTCTAATGAAATATAAAATAATAGAATTGAATTTACAAAACTTAAATATATATATATATATATGTAATTAATCATTTTATATGGTATTTTCCTTCTAAAGAAAAAACCCAGCATACATATTGACAAAAATATATATATATATATTATTAGTTAAAGAAAAACAGAAGACTAATTTGCTTCCACACGTTTCATCTGTTGTATTCATACTTATTTTAGATAATTCAAAATTGTTGTTATTCATGGATTTTACAATTATAACTATATTCGATACGCTGAACCAATATAAAGGGGATTACGTGTATATTTATATATATATATATACCCACACACGCACACGCGCTTATATGTATGTACAGTTAATCGGCGTTGTAACTTATAGGGAAATTAATTTTTTAAATAATAATATTGTTGAAACCGTCATATACCGTGTCATCTTCAAACTCAATCGGTCAAATTATATAAAATAATGTAAATACTTGCAATTACATCTTTCAATTTTCTATTCGTGAGTTTTATCACGTGAATATTACTGACGTATATATATATATATATATAGAGGATAGTGAAGCACATGGCAGATATTACATTTAGAACAAACGTTGAATGAGATCAAATAGGAAAAATTAAATTAACTCCAAATTAATATCTAAACTATATATAATCAATAATTACTTTCCATTCTTGGCAAGTCATCAATTTTATCGAAGTGGTAGTTTCTTAATATGTGTTCCACGTGGCCCATCAAATTAGAAAATCGAACCACCAGCGGAAATATGCAGACACTTTCACATATATATTTATATACATACGTGTGTAAGTATGTATCTACATATTTGTGTATGTAGATTTTTAAGCGCATGTTACAGGCAGCCGTTTCAGACATGCTTAGCAAAATTGTTGTTTTGACTTTTTTGCGGATTTTTTGAAATTGGATGTTTCAACTTAAAAGATTAAAAGAGATGTGAATAAAAATAAGTGAATTATGTAAATCGTTATATCGATTATAAAAAAAAAAAAAAAAAAAAAAAAGATTGAAAGTTCAGTCCATAGAAAGCCATCATCGGCTCCCACTAGATAAGAGTTTTTGACCGAACGATGCCTGGAGTTGGCAGAGAATGCATGTACATGACATGGTTGTATGTAATCTTTGTTAAGTTCAGTCCATTAAAAGAAAAAAAAAAAAAGAAAAAGATGTAGAAATAAATGGGAGATAAAATTTCAGATTTCTGAAAATCTTTTCGAGTAAGAGAAGTTATTTTAAACTACTATTCTTGCTTATAAAACGAGAGGAGTAGAGCTGAAAAAAACAGATCAAGCCGAGGAGAAGAAAAAATTCTGGTTGTGCAGAAAGAAATAGAGAGAGAAGACAGAGAATCGAGGAAGAGAAAAGAGAAAGGAAGTGGTATAATATATATATATATATATATATATATATATATATCTCTCATCAGTGATATCATAAGTGACTTCAACTATTTTCCTAAAGAAAATTTATTTTGACTTTTGTTTACCTTCTCTTCAAGTTTTGCACATAAATAAAGTTGTTTCTTTTTTTCCTAAATGTGTTTGTTAGTAGAAGATTGTATTTATGTCTGTAATGGTTTTATTGATATATGCATTTAACTCGCAACAAATATAATTTGGTTTCCAATTCTTTAGCCCTTTACACAATCCGAATGATAACCATACGATTCAGGAACTACCTTTGTCCATTAGCAAAAAAATATTACAAGCTAAAGCTTATGATAATATTCCCTCTCATGGACATTGTTCATTAACTCTTGTAAAATACCATCGTGTTCGATATTTTTAATTTAACAATTCAATTACTACAAAATTGATCACACCGACAGTATCAGTTCTTGAATCTAACGCTTCTGCTGATTCCTGCATTAATACCAGTCGACTCTCCACCATAAGGACCAATAGGTTTCCTGACATCTCGCACCTGTCCTTTGCGCCGGGAAACTGCAACTTCATGTTTAGTCTGCGTGTTACAAGCAACAAAGAGATGTCAGTCTCTGGTTTTAATTGAAGAGATAAATTGGAACACAAAAGAATTAATAGTTCTGTCAATACCCGGTATTTCTTCCTTGGATTTTTAAGATGCTTCTTGCGTTTTCGTGTCAAGCCTCTATTCTTTTCCATCTGGCATCAATTGACAGCAAAAGTATTACATTTTATAGGTAGAAAAATAGTTGTGGAAATAATCAAGCATCAAAAATAGATGAGACATTCCCACCTGAGAAGTGATCAACCGCTTCCCGTCTACAATTTCAGACAATGAGGGGACAGATGAAGTCCTGCATAAAACACATTCGCAAGGGTAATAGTAATTCAATCAGCAACATTTATTTCTTGAAGATCTATTATTTCTGAACAAATATTCTCAGGACACGAACAACTAGAATAAGATTCTAGCTAGGTTCAGTAAATAAAAAGCAACATCTATTTGGACCTCTGGTAAACCTGATTATATTTCACTATTGCAGGAAGACAGTCAAGCATAATTCAGAAGCAGACCTTGTGTAGATCTCAGCTTTGGCAGCAAGTTTTGCATCACGATGTTTCTTTACTTGTTTGTAAAATTCATCTTCTGAGCTCCCTGCATCACTATTCGTCATTTCAGGATCATCACCTGACCCAAGAATTCCAGCTTCATCAATAGCATCATAATCTGATCCCAGATTCCGAGCTTCGTGGTCAACCTCATCCTGTGACATTACTCCAGCTCCAGCCAATACTCTTAGTTCATGTTTTCTCCGCCTTTCTCCAATATCATCCCTCTTAGGTAAATCGTCATCACCAGAAACAACCTTCTCAAAATGATGAAAAGAAAACATATAAGATGCAAATTCAAAAAAAAAAAAAACAAAAATCAATTACTTAAATGATCACAGAATATTCCTTATAAAATGTTTTATCACTTCAATGAAATTTCATAAGCAGTTTGGAGTAGTGTAGAAAATGGCATACACCAGAGCAGTAGAAGCTGTCAACAATCTATGGAACTTTAAATACCTAGCGTCTAGTATTAGCATATTTAAAGAAGCAAGAAAAATTCCAAGCTGCAGAATCAATATACGTCAGTATTTGACCCAGACATGTGTCAGTTTTCTTCCTTTATATATTCAAAATTCACAAATTACAGTTTTCATAGCATCGTTATCCTTCGATCTATCATCCATGTTGAGTTTAAGATCATCAATCAACTAAAGAATGGGAAGAAAAAGGCACTCAACGAGCAAGCTCTAGTATACCATTTGAATTTTCAGAACACTGTATAGTTAGAATTTCAAATTTCTCCAAAATAAAGGAGAAAGTATTGATTTAAGAGCTAGTTATAAAATTTTTATTACAAACTCCCAAGTATACGATAATTTAGCTCCAGTTGTTCCTATTGCAATAACAACATTCCTCAATTATCAGACAGATTATAAACATGAGTCCTGGTAAAAGCCTGTTAACCAGAAACAGGAATAAATGTAGTACACAATTAATTTCTCTTTAACATGAAAAAGAAGACTGCATGCTAAATTAGATCATGAAAATGAATACAAAGTCATTATCAAAAAAACGAAGTAGTGCAAGTTAAATAACTGATATACAATCACAAGCCAAGTTCAATAAGTACAATAACCTCTATCTATGAGAAACAAAAAATCACCCACATACAAATCCTGCCCAGTACCATGCACCTTTACCTAGGAATGGAAGAACACTACCTAATTTTCAGGAAAACTACAAGAAGTCATTGTAAGTTACTAAAATCATAGTTCCTCTTCAAGAAAAAGAAACATATATTAAGAAATAACAAGATAATGGTGAAGTTGGAGAATAAGACATCTTACTCGATTCGTCTAGTTAAAATGTGAAACACTACCATAAGAAACAAAAACAACATAAAAGATCATCCTGCGGATAGCCTCCCAATTCTGATGAAGTTCAGATATATCAAGATCAGGAATTTCCTGTGAATTTTGGCCCATAAGGTGGCCAAAAATGTTAATCTTTTCCATAGCACCTGAACCGACAAAAAGTGATAATACAAAACCCTAAGATTCCATTCAAGCCATTGAGTACATATTCCTGTGGAAAAAAAGCCCCTCGCAACAGGGGCTTTACAACCTGCCAAACAATCTCCCCATAAATATAAGAACTCATCAAACGCTCCACTGTAGGGGGATGGCTTTTATCCCATGGATGGTTCTAAGAATGTGACTCATATGTTTTTATCCCAAATCTCTAAGCATGTAAATTAACCTATTTTCTTCTCCACCACTTCCTGTCAACTGAGATAGCACTCTGACTATTAACAATTGATTGATTTCATTGTGTGGGTTATAATTATTTGAAGATGGTTTGACATCCATCAAAGGATTATGTTTAGACATGAATAGAAAATTATAACAAGTTCAATACCTTAGGCTTGTTTGGTTTTGCAGTAACGAAAGCAGACAGTTTATTAGACTGCAAAGAATCGGCATGCCTATTTTGCAATCCATAAGAACCACCCTTAACATTGATTGCATCATCATCAAAGTCATCAAATGTTTCTAGTTTTCTGTTTAATCAATCAAGATCAATGAGTTAGTCCTCAAACTGTTAAAAAGAAAGCGGTATAAATTATGAAACAGGAGAAAGAATACCCATTGACTGATTTCATCTTTTTCTCAACTTTTTCAGGCTTTGAAGGAATTGAACTAAATAGTCCTCTCTGCCTCAAATTTTCCTCCAGAGCAGCTCTGATCTTTAACATTTTCATGCTCTGAACACCAACCTGATTATCCTGCAAACACCATTGCATATTAGTCTAACCACTGAGAAGAGGCAATAGAAGAGGACACACAAAGATCCTCAGAGCAAAAGGCTCGTATTTCAAGTGTGCAATACAACTTCTTTTTGACAAGATTCACCTGGAACTTCCTTTTCTCTCCTTTGTTCTTGAGATCCTTCAAAGACTTTGTTATTACATTGGCATCATGAGTTTGCTGCATTATAATATGAAGTTCAAATATTAAATCCATGGAAAGAAAAACATCAGACCACTACCAGATAAGATTGAACATAAGTTACCTCTGCTGCCTCTTTTGTATTTTTAACCACCTTTTCTAGTTGTTCTCCATCAGCTATGGCAAGAGAGGGGACAGGGCCCTTTTGTGACAGAATCAGACGCTATGGCAGCACTCTCGTTAGCCAATTTCCCCACTGCTTCAGCACCAAGGTTTTTCTTTAGAATCTCCTCAAATTCAGAAGGAAGATTCCCGTCAAGTTCTTTCATCTGTGCATTAAAATAGAAAATGAGCCATGCAGATTACTTCATTATTCAGAAAATGTAGGCGTGCAAGTAGGCTTGCAATAATCAAATGAGTGAAACAAACAGAAGATAATTTCAACTTCACATTGGATAGCAAATTTATGATTTAACTTCCTGGCATTCCAATACCAAATTGTCAGAACCAAAGCCATTAAAAATTTTATTCGAAAAATATGACACCAAGTCAAAACAAAGTCCCAAAGTCCTTATAATGTGGAAACAAATTTCTACAGAGTAATTTTTTCTTGAAATACTTGCATCTGTTTGAGATAAAAGAATAATTCCTTATTGATGAAAGAAAGGAAGAGCTTCATTAATGTAAATATTTTAACCTAAAAAAGAACAGGTAACCTTATCTAATAAGCCCTTGATCTCAACAAGACGAGCAATGACAGGATGATCACAAACCGATTGCCCCTCTGACTTGAGAAGAAGATAGAAGGCTATAGCTTGGCAATATGAAAGCAAAAGAAGCTGCTTAACCTCAAGATATCGCATTCCACCCTCAAGTGCAATTCCCCCACTCTGAACCTGCATAAACAGAAAGCTTTATCATGCTCAAGTGAACACAAAAATCAACTAGGAAGTTTCAGAATTCGAAGTTTAACAACCCTAAAGAAACTAGCAGTTTGCATTTCCAAAATATGAACAGCAAGCTGCTCTGTGTTAGTAGCATGATATCATAAAAAGAATGAGAATCATAATCATATTTCGTGTCAAAATTCCCCTAAAGACAGATTCCAGATACCAATTTGATACAAGAAACCAGGAAATTCCTTAAAAGAACACCAATATCAAAACCTCAGTTGCCGTACAGATTCATAACGAAACCATACAAGGATCCATGATACCAAAAATATCACATCAAGCAAAACAGAACCATAAAGATTGGAAACTAAAATGGAAAAGAAGAAATGTAGTACCTTAATCAACAGAGGGTTTATTTTGTTCTCAAGCTGCTCAAGTGCATCATTTAGCTCTGACATCAAACCAACCAGTTCAGGTGCAGAACTGCAGGGGAAAAAAAACTATTTCCAGCATGAAAGTGAAAAAAGTTATAGCAGCACACTAAAAAATGTAATTTTTTTAAAATAAAAATATGTATATTACGTATATGACACCAAGGGGTGCCACCGCTATACAAAAATATTTACAAGCTTGTTAGTACATCTAATAATCTCCCAAAATCATCCCACCTGTGTACACCATGACTAAAAAAGTGTAAATTTAAAGCACTGGTTGTTGGGACCAGCAGGGATTGGGTGAGGACTCTAAAAAATGAATTGCATTTCTAAGCACATGGCTTATACAGTCACTGGAAATTATAAGAACATTGCAGTATTCAACAGCCACCACCCAAAGGCTATAGGTTAAAATTCAGTTGAAAATTACAAGAATTGGGTAATAAGCTCCTATTGTTTTAATTGCAATATTTTTTTTTAAGAATTGACTGGTAGACTCTTGTTCAGTTTTCCCAAGGCCTAGTTCCACTCAGGACTTATCATCAGACACAGGTCATTTCCAAGAAAGGAGTATATTTCTTGACAAGAATTTTGCTAGGTGAGCATATTACATTTATAATTCAAACCAGAGATCATCCGTCAAACTGTCTAATAAGATATGAAAAGACACATTTATGCAAGGACACAGGACAAAGGGACAACCAAGATCTGAAGCAAACTTCTACCTGTATACAACATCCATTTGCTCCTCCCTTGACAAGGAACTGATATCTTTCTTGACCTTTTCAAAAGTTCTACCCAGCTCATCATTCGCTTCATTACTCGCTGTGTATTTTGTTGCGCCTTTTCCTTTTATAGATATTTCCTGCAAAACAAAAATGTATATAATTTAATCACAATTCAACAGAGATTTTACAGTTTCTAAAGAAACCACTCCACCAAAACCTTCAACATTAATAATCAATATGTCATGATCATGTTCAAGTCCCACCTCTAAGGTTAATTCTTTGTCGCTTTCATCTTGATTCTCATCTCCAAGGCCCACATCCGCCATAGTCAAAGATTCTGCTGCTTTCCTCTGCAACCGTAATGCCTCAGCCTCCTCTTCCGCAAGGGACTCATCATCACTTGATTGCAACTTCAAAATCAGATCATACCACGAACCAAGTTATGCTCACTTAGAAGACAGCATTAAAAGATAAGAATTTATTGATTGTTTTTGGTGTTTATGAACCCATAAGGGCAAAAGGAACAGCGCAGCAAAATGTAATTCAGAATAGAAGTTGCAGTTACAGATAAGAACCACATTAGTATTTCAATACTCACCTCAAAATCAGTATTATCGGCATTATAATATCTCCTTCTCACTCCACCCCATGTAACCCTTTCCTCTTCCTCTTCCTCTTCCCCATCTTGATCAGCATCATGCATTTCATCATCAACACCACCAAACTTTGCTCGTAAAAATTTCTGTTGCCTTACAACTGTGAACAAGAAGATAAAAGTTAATGACAATTTTCTTTTTCTACCTAATGTGCCCCTGCCAACCACTTAGAAAGTCGCCATGCTAGTCAAATGTCAGAATTATCACCAATACAAAAAAAAAAAATTCATCACTAAAAGAATATTTGCAATGTTCGGTTTTTAAGTTCCCCCTCCAGCAGATCATTTTGTTTTTGTGTTTTTTCTTGCATCCTTGCAAATCCAATGAGCTATATTACTCCTAGAAAATAAATTCATATAACAAACAAAGGACAACCTTCCTCATTGAAATCAGGGAGCTTCAACGAGCAGTAGTTAACTTAGAATCTTGATTGTGGAAAGTCAACGAGCTTTGACACCAAAACTCCAGATATTACAATGGTAGATATTTTTGGCTTATACAGATGCAACAATGAAAGTTTCTGCAAACCTGAAAATCAACATGTTTTGTTTTCAGTTTGTCTAACTTACTTTTTGCAGCAAATCCAGTAATGTGAGCATCGTCATCACTATCCTCATCCTTATCATCGTCATCACTATCCTCCTCATCCTGTAAAAGTGATGAGTTATACATAATGATATGGGGAAAAATATTTAAATAGGAAAAGAAATGAAAACCACATAAATATTCTGATATTTAATATAGTGCAAACCAACATGATAAGAAGAAATTTAATCCGTATTTGTTCAGATTTGAATGAAAGATGGGTTTACAAATTGTGTCAGAAATCAATCAATGAGAATGGCACTCAAAAAGGTACTCAAATCTCCTCTCAAGCATTTACATGAAAAGTCCATCCATAACATAGTCCTTTTCAGTAACATCATATAATCAATTTCCAAATGTTAACCTTTTTAATCCTTGACATTCAAATTCTTCTACCTTTAAATTCCTCTCACAAACATGCATTTCTAAGATTAGAAAAGGAGAAATAAAGAAGTCTAAAAATTTTCAGCAACACATAATAGTTACACACACTGGAACTTTTTCATCTTGTTGAAGTTAAAGAAATTAAACCATGTCACTAATATATTGATTCAAAGGCACATAAAGAGTATTTTCAAAAAAGTAAAAAAGGCAGAGGAAGAGTACAAAATTGACTGTAGCAACATCAGGCAAGGGTAATACAAACCTCAAAATCAAACACCGGCTGCTCATCATCTTCATCTGAATCCCCAACATCAGCATTAATATCCAACGGGACAATGTCTCGCTGTTTATGAACTGCAAAGACAAATATGCAAAGACAAATATGCATCAAAATCTACCACCCAATTCTCAATATAAGAAAAGAATTAAACACACAAACAAACCATGACACCAGCAATTGTCCAGAGTACAGTGTAAAGTTCATATCAACCAGTACTTTGTTAGGGATGCCACAAATGGCAAAGTCAGACCTTTGATAAGGTGTGTCAGAGGAGGAAGAAGTTATGTGTCTGACTGTGTACTACATAATTAGTAGATTCTGTAAAATTATGTATTATGGGCGGTAGTTATCAGTTACGTAAGAAAAAAGAAAAATAAATATAGGACAAGTTTAGAAATAACTTCCAGATAACTACTCTTCCATTGTAATAAGTTTCCCATTCTTTTGGGCTGGTTCATGTATGAAGAAGTTGATGAAAGTGCTGGGTTTTTTTTTACTCAAGAGATCATTGGTTCTCTCCTAACAAGCTCTTAAACTAAACTCAAAATAGGCAAAGGAAGACAACTCACAAAAATCCTCCATCTCTTACTGAGTTCTATGTCCATAGACCCATAACAAGATGAATCAGTAGGGACCCTAACATAGGTCATTCCATTGAGCAGTCTACTAGAAGTGAGAAAAGGAAATACATATCTCAATGCATAATAGATCACTAACTGCAAGAAGCCAGAATCACGAACTGCAATAGAACTGTTGGAACTCACTAATAGAATTCTATATAAATAATTTTTTAAAAGGCAACTAATGAAGATGAAATCTTTATTTAGCATGACATTATAGATGCTCACTCATTAGAAATTTGAAACTAATAAGTTCAGAGAAAGTAGGGAAGGCAATATATCAAAGGGCATCAAGAAAATGCAATATGAATAACAGCAATACTAGTAATAACTAAAACACCAAAGCAATCCAGTGAAAATGGAGATTACAGGCATCTATATCATCGTCCATCTCTTCCAGTTCAGCATCTTCTTCACGGAACCTTCTCTTCAGGTTTTTCCTATCCTTCTTCAGATTCTTTCCTCTCTTTCTCATTGTTTACACAGCTGACAGCTATAAAGAAAGAAACCAAGTTAACCTGATAAACTAATTTTAAGGCCAAAAAAGATGATAACAGTTTCAAGAAATGAAATCTTAAACACCATCTCAGTTCATAAAAATTCATTTAATGTATATGTTAATCCTTCAAATGAATAAACAAAAAAGTAATAAATACATGGTAAAGCTTCAATGATAATTCAACTCTAACTTTCACATTTCTTCAAGGATTAGAAAGAAACGTTATCACACGTATAAAATTCACTTATATTGCAGCTATCAGATAAAAATTTCCTAACTATTTCATCCCTTATACAAAATTACAACATATGAAGCTCTATACAATCTCTTTACAATCAATATTTTATCTCTATTCTATTTTTTTACAATCCAAAATAACTAAACTAAGATATTTCTTCGAAGTCTACTATTCAGTCTTAAAGTTGTTTTGAACCTCTTTTAACCTGTAACAAATGTGGAAATTTAGGGTAAGGATTCCACTACCTCAGCAGAAAAAAGGGGCAGTGCCCATAACAAAGATACGTGACAAATATTCATACAGAAAACTAATGCATTTTTTTTTTTTGAAATAAAAAATAATGCGTATATTAACAAGGTACCAAAAAGAGGGGGTGCCGTCCCGTAAACAATTCACAAAGTAGTTAGTATGTCAATGATATCTCCAAAATCTTCATCCCTTACAATATCATGACCAAGCCGTAAACAATTTACAAAGTAGTTAGTATGTCAATGATATCTCCAAAATCTTCATACCTTACAATATCATGACCAAGCAAACTAGACCCAAAATAGTTAATCCACCTATCTCTTAATTTATACAACCCTAACTCTTTCCCATCAAAGACCCTAACATTTCTTTCTTTCCAAATAACCCAAAAAACAGACAAAGGAATCAAATTGGCAACATTACATTTGTTGATCAGCCTATTCCAAGCCCAGAAATCACCCAACTAATCCCCAAAAGCTGATAAATAATAATGCTTCATAAACTGTGAACAACAGGACACCATAGCAGTAGGTGATTACAAGATTCCTCATCACACATGCAAAGAGAGCATCTATTAATGATAACCTGTTCCCTTGCCCTTAAGTTGTCGAAAGTGAGTATTTTTTCCTTACACGCTTCCCATGCAAACAAAGCCATTCTAGGGGGCACTTCAGTTTTCAAGATTTGCTTAATAGGGAGTTCCAGACTTCCTTCCTCCTCCCCCCCAACCAGAAAGCTATAGCATGATTGAACAGAAAACTTACCCCTTTTCTCAAGACTCCACAGAATTTTATCTGGTACCTCTTGTGTGCGTTGTTTCTCCAATGTTATCAAAGTTCTTCATACTCCTTGATTTCCCAATCATTTAAATGTCTATTGACTCTAACGGTCCAATCAACACAGCCATTACAAAGCCTATATGCATCAGCCACCGCCAACCCTTTCGAATATGCAATTTCAAAAATTCTGGAAAACAAATTCTGTAATCTATCCTCACCAGTCCACCTATCTTGCCAAAATCTTATTTTGTCCCCTTTACCCAATTGCCATTTGGTGCAGGAAAGGAGACTTGGCCACTGTTTCATAATATTCTTCCACAACCCGTGTCCATGGGGCCTGTAGCCAGCCCCGGCCCCAGCCCCACACAAAACACAATTTTCCTCCAAATTTTGTCCTACACGGTCAAAAACTTCCAAAGCCATTTAACTTGAAGAGCCTTGTTCATGTAGACAACAGATCTTAATCCCAAACCACCCTTAAGAACCGGTTTTTTGATCTGCTCCCAACTAACCAAGTGATACTTCCTATGCCCCTCATTATCTCCCCAAAGAAAATTACGCTGAATTGTTTCTAGTTTCTTCACAATTTCTTTAGGGATTGTAAGAGTCGGGAGGTAGTAGACGGGGGAGGTTGGCCAATGTGCTTTTTATTAAAGTGAGACGCCCACCCTTGGAAAGAAAGTTTCTCTTCCACCCAGCAAGTCTATTTTCAAACAATTCAGTGACCGGATCCCATGTGCATTTGTCTTTAAAGTTTGCACCCAATGGAACCCCAAGGTATTTCAAAGGGAACCTCACCGATTTGCATCCCAGAACCTTAGCAAAGTTGCTGTCATCACCCTCACAACCTGTCCTGGTCCAATTCAGATTTTAGTAGATTACTTTTTATCCAGAAACAGCCTGAAAACTATGGA